AGAGATGGACTCCTGAAGGCCGCCCGTACTTCGTGGACCACAACACCCGTACGACTACCTGGGTTGACCCCCGCCGCCAGCAGTACATTCGTATGTACGGAGGCCAAAACGCAACCAACGGCACCATCCAGCAACAGCCCGTTTCTCAGTTGGGACCTCTGCCAAGTGGATGGGAGATGCGTCTCACGAACACTGCTCGAGTGTATTTCGTGGACCACAACACAAAGACCACAACGTGGGACGATCCCCGTTTGCCGTCATCCCTGGACCAGAACGTACCACAGTACAAGCGAGACTTCCGGAGGAAGCTCATTTACTTCCGCTCGCAACCTGCGATGCGCATTCTTTCCGGACAATGCCACATCAAGGTGCGGCGTTCTCATATTTTCGAGGACTCGTTTGCAGAAATCACTCGGCAGTCTGCTACTGATTTGAAGAAGCGACTTATGATCAAATTCGATGGTGAGGATGGTTTGGATTATGGTGGTCTCTCCAGAGAGTTCTTCTTCCTCCTCTCCCACGAGATGTTCAACCCGTTCTACTGCCTGTTCGAGTACTCCGCCCACGACAACTACACCCTTCAAATCAACCCCCACTCTGGTATCAACCCCGAGCATTTGAACTACTTCAAGTTCATTGGTCGCGTTGTTGGCCTGGCGATTTTCCATCGTCGTTTCCTCGATGCCTTCTTCATTGGTGCTCTGTACAAGATGATACTGGGCAAGTCGGTCGTCCTGGCCGACATGGAAGGTGTTGATGCCGACTTCCACCGCTCTCTACAGTGGATGCTGGACAACGACATTTCTGGAGGAATTCTCGAGCAGACATTTTCCACCGAAGACGAGCGTTTCGGTGTCATGACTGTGGAGGATCTCATCCCCGGCGGTCGTGACATCGATGTGACGAATGAGAACAAGAAGGAGTACGTCGACCTCATGGTGAAGTGGAGAATCGAGAAGCGTATCGCGGAGCAGTTCCAAGCCTTCAAGGATGGCTTTCATGAGCTTATCCCTCAGGACTTGGTCAACGTTTTCGATGAACGTGAGCTTGAGTTGCTTATTGGTGGTATCGCCGAGATCGACGTGGACGACTGGAAGAAGCACACCGATTACCGTGGATACACAGAGTCAGATGAGGTTATCCAGTTCTTCTGGCAGACAATTCGTTCGTGGGATGGAGAGCAGAAGTCGCGTCTACTTCAGTTCGCGACGGGTACATCGCGTATCCCGGTCAACGGTTTCAAGGACTTGCAAGGAAGTGACGGTCCGAGAAGATTTACAATCGAAAAGGCTGGAGAGATTAACAATCTTCCCAAGGCTCACACATGGTAAGATACTCGCCCACAGCTTGCCGAATCTGTTCAAGCGCTAACCCTTTACTAGTTTCAACCGATTGGACCTGCCGCCATACAAGAGTCTGGAAATGCTTCAGCAGAAGCTTACAATTGCCGTTGAAGAGACTATGGGCTTCGGTCAAGAATAGATGCCTCATACGTCCGATGGGGCCCATGTCTTTGCTTATGCGTCCAAGCATTTGCAAAAAGGACGACGGAAGCACGCGCCTTCGCCACGTAGTGGCTGGATCTTCACCGCTGAATGTGAGAACAGCATGTGCAAAGCACATTGCATTCAGTACACGTTGGGGTGGGCTTGGCTCGAAGCTACTGCTAGTATGATTTCACAGCATCAAATTCATTCGGATGTTCGGCGTGCGGTAGGGATACTTGGAATAAACCTTTGTTTCTTCTTCTTTCTATATGCGAAGGGGTAGTGGAAAGTGATGACGAGACGAAGCGGTTCGAGTCGAAATGTGGCAAAGTAAGAGCAGAGTTGTCAAAGGGAACTGTGTTGTACCAAAAGCTCCTTGGGTGTGGCGAATTTGCATCGAGAACCTAGATGTCTGCGAAGTGAGTCCGCAGCAAGGAGGGACTTAATTACCGCCTCGGGGAGGAAAGATGCTCAAACGACCAGGGCTTCCGAGGGCAAGAGACAGGAAAGCTAAGCAAAGGGATGACGGGCGCATTTGATTATTCTCGGGCATCACAACTCCAGTACGATATCCGCATCAGACATATAGTGTTATACATACATACCTCATCTGAGAGCACCGTTGCGCGTGTTCATGTCTAGCCAGCCATGCCAAAGCCTCTCGGGCCGTCTTCACCTCGGTGTGGCTAGTTCGTGAGCAGAGCCTCAACAGTGGTGTCGATACAGCAGCCTAACTGGATTACCGTCTCCATTGAATGATGCAGATTGTCCATGCTCGATATACCACGAAATTTGAAGTGGGATAGTTCAATCTACAACTTGAAGGTATCAAGATCTTGATCCTATTACGACACAGGGCTTTCAGTTAAGTTAAACAAGGTTTTGAAATGATGGCAGAACTTGTAATCTACACGACCGCGATCGTCTGCGGGTGAATCCTCCGCATATGTACATAGCCACGCCCACGCACGCAACCGCATACAAAGGAAAAATGAAGCCCAGCCTGCCGTTATCAAAGGGCCCCAACGTGCCTGGCATACCTCAATCTCCTCCCGGACCTAAGCATTTTCCCCTTTCTACTGACCGCAAATGCCTCTCTGTTTGATATACGGCCCCAAAATACCGCTTTCCCCCAGCTACGCCGTCTCCGTGTCCCCCCGTAGCTTCCATTTCATTCTCGCTTTCCACTTTGGAAAAGAAAAAGCTTTGAACAAAAAGTAGCCAATCTACTTGCGGTACCACATGCGGGTGATCTTGGTGTTACGCATCTTGCGCTGGAGCTGGAAGATGCCGTACATGAGGGCCTCGGAGGTCGGGGGGCAGCCGGGGACGTAGACGTCGACAGGGACGACACGATCGCAGCCGCGAACGACGGAGTACGAGTAGTGGTAGTAGCCGCCGCCGTTGGCGCAGGAGCCCATGGAGACGACCCAGCGGGGCTCGGGCATCTGATCGTAGACCTGGCGCAGGGCGGGGGCCATCTTGTTGGTGAGGGTACCGGCGACGATCATCACGTCGGACTGGCGAGGGGAGGCACGGAAAATGATTCCGAGACGATCCTGATCGTAGCGGGGGGTGGAGAGATGCATCATCTCGACGGCGCAGCAGGCGAGACCGAAGGTCATGGGCCAGAGGGAGGACTGACGGGCCCAGTTCGTTATTACGTCGAGGGAGGTGCTGTGACAAGACAGATTAGTGTACTGCCGTTGGAGAGAGAGAGGACAAGCTCGGTGTTTGATATCGGGTGGAGGTATGTGTGAGGCAGATAGAAGGGGGGGCCGTACAGAGCATATTGCAAAACACCCTTGGTGCCCTCCTGGCTAACCAGGGGCACCTCCTTCCGCTCCTTCTTGATGAGACCGGTCGAGTGCGCAGCGGCGGGGCTGGCGTCCTTTCGTGACGAGGAGGAGATTGAGGCGGCGGCGATTCTGAAGGGGGTGATGGACGCGGTGGGCTTCGCTACAGTGGCCAATTGAGGTCAGTCAAATGCTTCGGCTTCTCTTGCCCCCCATCGCGAACAGAGCTTCAATTGAAACCGCGAGACACATCCGTATCTCCTGCATGGTTTATGACTGGGTCATTGAGGATTCGTCCGGGTAGGCGCGCAATTGGACATCCTTCGAATGGAGATTCGTGGTGGCGGTTGAGGTCCAGTTCCTCGGTAGACCGGAGACGACAACGACTTGGGGGGAGTGCTTACCTCGCAGGGCCATTGAGGCCGCTGTCCTCGTGGAGGAAAGCATCTTGGTGTCCGGTATGGTTTCGTCTTCTTTTCGGAGGTTAATGAGGAGTGGAGAGGGTGTATCGCGGGGAGGGGCGGCCGGCGGAGGACGACGTTCGACAGCAAAAGGGTCGGGGGGGCTCTCTTTTTCGGGAAAGATGGTTGACGTTGTCGACGAGCGTTGATGGTTTTCGCCTCTTTTCTCGCTAATTGCATTAGCGGCGTTTTGATTGGCTGGCCGGCTGCCGGGATGGTCCGGGTGTTTGGATGTTCCTTAGGTAAGCGCGTGGGGGAGCTCACATATGCCCGTCATTATACCAGAGTGTATGAGTAACTATCATGAAACTAGATGATCTACAACTGTAGCCCTCCTCTGCCGGAAGTGATTTATCTAAGTGTATTCGTCATACTATACTTCAGTCTCAAGTACCGTCAAGTAAAATTGCTGCGAGATAGTCTCGCAGAATTACTTCCTCCCTCCTGGAGATATCTGGTTAGCTGACGATGGCCTTGGTGGATGGACCTCTGTGAAGACTGCCATCCATCTCTTTCCCTCTCAGCGTCACGTGCTATAATTGCTGTCGACGTCGTGCGACTTTGAGTTGCCATAAGACACCCAAAGTGACCAGGCTGCCATTGTGCCTTATTGTACGTCTAGTCCCCTCCCCAGACTTAGGGACAAGCATCATGTATCATACCTTAGTAGCTGTCCGTGTTCCAGCTCTAAAGCGCTGTTCAAGTTGTGGACCAGGCACCATTAGCCAATCAAGAGGTAAAATGTACGCAAAGAGTATCTGACAATGGAGTAGAACTTCAAAAGCAGTATATTTCCTCAGGTCATCTCTCATGACTTCTACAAGGGCAAAGCACCCAAAGCAGTCTCAGCGCCCTACCTCCCAGATCCAATATGGAGAATCTGTCGACGTGTTTCCCATCACAAAGGAAACTCTGCCGCCCACCCGCCAAGGTCCATAACGCTATAACTGAAAGAAAACTACAATGTTAGGGAAGGTAACAAGATTCCAATCCCATAAGAATAAGCAAACAAGTCGCACCTAGTCCCAGAAGCGAGGGCCACCGCACTAGGAAGAAGACCGACGGACCAAGCCAAGGGGTCTGACTTAGTTCCCCGGAAATCAGATACGATACTGGCCCTCATTTCGGGAATCCCAATCACGAATTTAGAAAGAAAAAAAAAGGTATCAGCCAAACAGCCACGTATGACGCCAATGAAACGCCCAGAACGCCGCCATTGAGTGACAAGAAAGAAAGAAGCAAGGCGCCTAGTTCGACGCGGTACGAGTGTTCAAATAATGTTGTCGCGAGGTTTCCGTCCAGGTCTTCCTCTTGTGCGTCGCGGGCTGCTGGGAGGAGTCCCACGCGCGCGAGGAGCTCGAGGAAACGTCGTTTTCAGAGCAGATGGGTACTACTTCTTCAGCACGGCATCGTAGAGGCTTACAAGCCCGGTGATGGCAGCACCGGTCAAGATGCCCTTCCACTCTCCATACAGAGCGCCGTTGATGCGGTCGATCGAGTTCTCATTGATCCAGCCGCCAAAGCTGACCTTTTGGGCGTAGACAACGAACGAGATCAAAGCCTTGACGATGCTGAAGACCAAGGGGTCGACATTGTACTCAACGGTCGACGACTTGCGGCCGCGAGGCTGGGGATGGCTCGCCGCGCTCAGGTTGTAAAAGTACCCAAACAGGGAGGGAATGAGGACAGAGGTGAGAGTCCACAGGGCGACGGGCGACCAGAAGGACGAGGTCACGAACAGGAAGGCGTCAGGCACGTAGACGGGGTAGAAGTTGGTGCCCAGGGCCGGAATCGCGGGGATGGTGAAGGCGTAGCGGAGGGGCAAAACCTCGGCTCTCAGGTTCCACGCCTCAAACGCGGCCACAGTGAACAGCACCGATGTGACGGTTGACAGGGAGGAGCGCACAGCCTGGGTGCCCTCCTGGATGCCGGACTGGTCGTACAGCTCTGTCGCACGCTCGCGCAGGGCGACAGTATGACGGTCGACGGCCTCGGCGACATCAGCAGGCGTCGCGGGCAGAGGAATACGGCTCGCAAGAGAGAGGTTGCGGGCGGGAGTTCGCGTCGCCAGTGCGGTGGAGAAAGCAGGCTCCGGGCTCGAAGATTCGGCTCTTCTGTGACGCGTATTAGTCGCGATCCAGGGATGTAGATGACCTCTGAGGCGCATCGCGTAAAGGGTGAGCAAATGTGGCTTACTCAGGTTCGGCCTCGGGCTGAAGCTCCTCGATGGCTCTCGTCGTCCTGCGACGCGTAGACTTGACGAGATCGGTCAAGGGAGCCTCCCTCTTGACGGGTGAGCCGGCAGCCTTGGAGCGACTGGTATAGTAGCCTGCGAGCTTGGGGTTTTGGGAGAACTGAATTGTGTTCTCGGCGAGGTATTCGTCGAGAGTGACTTCCAAGTCGGCCTTTTTCTGGTTCTCGTACCTGAAAGCAGCGCGTTGTTAGCCTTTTCTTGCTTGGTCTGAATAGCATCGTGGGCCATTCTGCGACAGCTCGACGCGCCTCAATCAGTCTTGACGCCGGTCGCAATCGACGCGACAGCAGCACACGCCCAGCCCGAGTGCGACTTGCAGGGTAATAAGAAGCCCGTCACAGCTGCACAAAGTTCGCTTCCGCGGAGAAAACCATAGGAAAATGCTCACCCAGTAAGTCCGGTCAGCTCGGCAATCTCGACGAGATCGCTCTTCCGCTGCCTCGCCAACCACGAGTTTGCGCCCGACATTGTTTGGTGATTCAAACGGGGTAAATGTTACTCAAAAAAGGTATCAGATGAATCGCGCAGACTCGGCGACTCGAGCGGATCGATTACAGAGATGTCTTTGTAGAAGGATTGCAGTGAATGCAGGGCAGATTGTCCTTTAGTGGTGGCAAGTACTTTGAAGGGGTGACGGTTTTGGAGGGGCAGTTGGATGGATGCGGTGGTGATAACGGCAACGATAGCTGGGCTGGAGAGCTAGGTTGTAACTTGTAAGGGTCGGGTCCAGGTGAGGTGTGATTAACGTGTGGATTTTGGGGGGTTCTACGGGGTGAAATGGTCGAAGCGCCTGGGGCGTTGTTTACCTTCCTCGGTCCCTTGTTGTGGTCCTACGGGAAGTGACGCAACGGGATTTCCATCGCTGTGAGATGACTGTTGCCGTGAGTAGTGACTGCTTCAGCTGGTCTTGCTGCAGCGGGCGAGTGTGCTACTGCTGTCTGATGCGCGGGGGAAAGGGGGTGTCCAGTGCCATTGTGGACGTGGACATTGCGACTGGTTTAGCGCGCTTTCCGTCCCCTCTCCCCTCTCCCGGGAGCGGCAGAAGCACTGGAGGTGGGCTCCCGTCCCAGAACTTAAGAAGAAAGCACGGGGTGACGGAGGTGCTGAGGTAAGTGAATGTCACCATTGACGGCTGCAGCCAATCAGACCCACCAACGATGTCCGAATAAGGCAGGGCATGTAAACAAACGGTTTAGTCGCTGGTCTCTGCGCGCGACTGGCCGGTGATCTCCCGCTGATAAAGGAGATGCCAAATAAACGGACGTCAAACAAGCACCCTGTTCAGCAAAGATGGTGCGAGGATATCCACGGGAACACGTGGCATTTCTCTCTCTCACACACTTCTCATATACCGAACGCGAAGTTGTCAACACCTTGAAGCCTCTCGCGATCAACATGAGCTGCCAGGACAACCAAAACGTCCCAGCCAATCAACCACTCAACCACCTCACTACCATCTTGCACATGCTCAACTCGATGACCTGCTGATAGGTTGAATTCTCAGATTAATTGCCATTCTAGCCTCAGTTTCAAGCACATGCAACTCCAACCCTTCTCTCCGCCTTGTACCCTGCCGGGTATTCCCATATATCCATCCTAGAATAAGTACTTTACAGTTTCGAAGACAGCATCCCACGAGCCATGCCAAGGCCACCCAGCTACTATCACTGGTTCCATTCTAAACCGAGTCAACAATGTCGACGAACCTTTCCTCGCCCCTCGGCACAATCCGGATGGGGACAGTCATTCCCTGAGGCAACTTGAGCGTCAACATCGTCGACGCCTTCTTCACAGTCTCTCGGCACTTGTCCTGCGCCTTTTTATACAGCTTCCGCCTCTCCTGCGGATCCATGGCCTCTACCTCGGCGTCCGAAGCCCACTCGTCCACCGCCAGCTCGAGACTGTGCCGCTGAAACACGACGGATAGCGCAGCAATGATTTCGACCTGCGCGATCCGCCGCCCCAGACACGACCGCGGCCCGTCCGAGAAGGGCACGTAGGACCCTCGCACCGGCCGGAACATCTTCTCGCTCGTGTCCGAGCCCTTGTACCCGCCGTAATCCTCCTCCGCATCACCGCCGCCACCGGTCTTGACCTCAGCTGCCGTCTTCGAGCTGGCTCTGTACCACCGTTCCGGCGCGTAGTCATCCAGATCGTGGTCCGCATCCGAAATCTTGCTCGGCTTCGACGGCCAATTTCGCGGGTTACGGTGCGCCGACACCCCCACAATAGAGACACTTGCCCCCTTTGGCAAGACGTACTTCTCCCCGTCCAGCGTGATGATGCCGTCGCCTTCCGGGCTGACCTTTTTGGGAATCTCTACCACCGCCGGTGTCATCCGCAGCGTCTCATTCATGCAGGCACCCAGCATGGACGCCAGCATCGGGTTGACCGTGCTCTCGTAGTTCCACGTGCTCGGATCGCTGTTGCCAAAGATGCCGTCGATATCCTTCTGGAGCTGTCGCTGCACGGCCGGGTTGCAGGCAATCTCAATCAACCCAAAATGCATCGCGTTCGCCGTCGTCTCGTGGCCCGCGACTAACATGATGAAGGCATTACCCGAGATTTCCGATCTGGACAGCTGAGGGATCTTGGACTCCTTGCCCTTTGACAGTTTCCCGTTGATACCCCCGTTGGCATCGGCTCCGTCCCCGTATTTCGACCTCACAAGCTGGCCCATGAGGTCCATGCCGGCGTCGCTGTGGTCGCCGTTCTGCAGGTCCTCAATCTTGTCCTGCATCAGCTCGTCGATGTACTGAACATAGTTGTCGTGCGAGTCAATGGCCTGCTTCGTATACTTGAAGGGCAACAACTTTAGAATCTTGTGCGGCACCAATAACAGAACCAAGATATGCTCCAGCATCTCAGCAATGGCATCGGCAAAGCTCATCGTGTGTCCTGGGGCCGCCTCGAGCGAGCTGTACTTTGTGAGCTTCGGGTCCGCGCCCTCGGGGAGCGACTGTCCCGGCCAGAGCAGGCGCATTCCGAACCCCACGTAGCTGATAATGTTGAGGGCGAGCCGCATCGTATCGTGATCCAGCGTCTGGATGGTCTCCTTGCTTTTCTCCCCGGCCGTGCCCAGCCACTTGCGCGTCATGCTCTGTGCCTGCTTGATCGACTCGGCAAAAACGAGGGAGGCGTTCTTCTCGTTAAATGTCGCGGATGTCACTTTGCGGTGCATGCGCCAGACGGCGCCCTCGGTGGTCAGGACATTGTCGCCAAACTGCTTCAGAATGGCGTAAGTCTCGACTAGCTTTGGGAACTTTTCGCGCTGCTGTGTGATCTGGTGGATGGCTTCGGCGCTGTCGGTCAGGATGAGAATTTGGAAGGGCGATACGACCATAAAAGTCTCGCCGATGCGTGCGAAGGGCTTGTGAAGTAGATTATAGGACCAATTCGGTATGAGGAGTCTATTCGCAAGGCATTGGTATCAGCAGGGGGGCCCGCAATGTACGCTGCAGTCCAGTCAGGGAACTAACTCGAGCCAGTTTTCCCACCAAGACTTAGGTAATGACTTGATGATGGGTAGCCAGAACTTGTGGGTGAGCTGCCATATTATTGAAAAGGGTGACGCGGCTTTGGCACAGTCAGTTCCTGATATAATGGGAATCCGGTTGTATCTTTGAACACATACGGGTGACGACATATGGCAGGCCAACTTTCTTTGCTTCAGCTATATTGCGCTGTAGACCGGAGGCGTAGGCATATACGCCGTAGGCGACCACAGCTGCAGCGAGCACAAAGACTGATGATACCATGATGATGCCAAGTGCTCTGGGAGCATCGAAATGGCGAGAGGTTGCCTAGGGGTCGACGACAGCACGAGTATATCCCAAGTGAAGTCTGATGATGACAACAGCTTGTCGCCCGTTGGATACAATTAGGTCAATGGGAGGAGGGGTTCGAGACCAGTCGAGGCCTGGGTCGGTTTGATAATCTCTAGAGCTTGTGCATCAAAACTGGGGGATGAATCCGATGCCTGCAAAGCAATAACGGGATGCTGTAAGATGTGGTATGCGTTAAGAAAGTCCCACGAGGACGAGAAGGAAAAGAGAAGGAATGCAGAACAAAAAAAAGAATTGTCACAGATCTGTCATGGAAGAAACAAAAGAAGGTCCGGAAACGTCGATGGGGTCGGGGTCCCATCTGGGAAAGCCCAAGGTGCAGGTAGGGGTCGAAGCTCTGGTTTCGGGTCTTGCATCTCCGAAACTAGCAAATACCCCCCTACCCCATTATGGCCCATCTCATGGTTGAGTTGGAGTCTCGAGAAGCAGCCTAGCTTTATTAGCTTAAAAGAGACCCTTGTAATCTAGCTTATTTTCTCCCATTTGCCAATTAGTAGCATGTGATTCGTTGTGACGAAAATGCAGGTGAGGCTTTTGGGGGATAAAAGTATGAGTTGTTCGATACTTCAAGCAGCTACCCATAATATGTCGAAATGTGACGAAGAGGCAGGGGGTGATGAAGAGCTTGTTTGCATCCCTTGGCCATGTGATCCTACTCAGGTCCAACATTGCCCATCGAGTTTGCTTCTCGAACAAACTAGAGGACGTCATCGCCAATGGGGATTCCTCTTCGCAAAAGTCAAATTAGAGGTCTAGGTAGGGTTTGTCAATCACTAAACACACAATCAACTCCCAATTCATCCATGTCGTGACACACCACTCACCGGCCACCTAGCTCGAGGTAGCTGCAGCGAGACACACTGGCCTAAGCTTGTTGGTTTCCAGCGGGGCGGGTCCAACTCCGCGCCACGGAAGGAGTCGCTTCCTTGTTTCCTTCCCCCTAGATATGCTGCAAGCCGCTATTGGCGGCGGCATCTCACCACCCCTGGCTGGCAGAGTTGTCTTCTGCAGGAGCTGTGACAGCTACATTCCAATGGGAGCACCCGCCGACTCAGGGGTGCTTATCGACTGGGCAATCCGATCATAGCAGACTCTTACGCAGTAAATGGTTCGGACAACCTACTGGACGAGAAGAGGGAGCAATCCGCAGTATAAATTTGATGGCGGTCCGGAGACTCTTCGGCCGGTCTGGCTGTTTGATCAAGAGACATGGCGGTGGGAGGCATGACTCGGAAGAGGGCACCCGCAAGTGGGTGACATGATGGTTTGCCGCCCACGCACCCAAAGGGCCAAGACATGCACGGCGGGTGTCAGGTCGAGGCTTGTCTCGGCAGCGCCCGACGCGGGACCAGGGGTTCTTGTCGTTGACACAAAAATCCAAGAAGAAGCAATTATCTGAGGGAACCTCGAGGTTTCTGCGTACCTTACACTCCAAAGAGTTGATGAATGGTTTTCTCCGACTTTGCTGGTGACCAACCTGAACAGGATCGGGCTTTCAAGGGATGTCACCCGGTAACAGAGAGATATAAACGTCAGATGATTTCTCTGGTCAAGTCTGGCTATCTCCAACTTTAGGATGGGCTGGTAAGTCCATTACTACTGAGGAACCGAAGAAACAGCGGCACCGGGCCTTCCAGCTTCAAAGTGCACATGCCTATATATGAATATTCGTCAAGAGAAGCGATGCCGACGGGGTCCCGACTCTGCGCGTCTTTACTCGGATTCTCATGTGCCGAGCTCGAGGGCCTATCAAACTATAATTAATGATGTCCGCCATGAACTTCGGACTTACAACTACCTAGCTCTCTGAAAGAGTCAGCCGTATACTAAGTCCGTATACTAAGCTTTACAACTCCCTTCATGGTGTGTAGATCATTAATTAAGAAGGATGTATGTAAGAAGTGACCGGAGAAGCCCGTTGGACTAACTATATTGCGATGCCCTTAGTCTCGCATACATGCTATGAGACTTTCACATAAGCTTTTTCTGCTCAGTCTCCTCCCAAGTTCTAGTATACATTCAATCCAACCATCCCCTCGGCGGAGGCATCCGCCGGGGCACCAATGTGTACGACATATTGTGTGACGGGAAAACTGGGTATATTGCACTACATTCCTAACTACTAACTTCCGCCCGACCTTCCGCCGCGTGAATTCCTTCCAAGTTCCAGCCCTACGCCCAGACGGCCAACTTCACCCACTCCAACGCACACAAGACCTCCTGGTGCCAGCCTACGTGGGTAGCCAGATCCAGCACGATGGCTTCCTTCTCCGTACGGGTCAATAGACCTCTCAACAACGCCCTCCGGCTCATGATAAGGCGCTTCTCCGCGTTAGAAGCTCTTCTAAGTATAATTTCGAGCCCGGCGTCGATCTACCGGATCTTTTGGTCCGTACCGGCCCGGCTATCTACGGCGTTAGTGGTCTCGCCTAGGCGGATTCTGTACCGCCGGAAGGCTCTACGCTAGTCCTTGGGCTTGCCCTCGCTGGCCATGATTGCCTCGGCGTTGAGCTGGCCGAGGGCGCCTAGCCCGAGAGAGGCCGACTTGCTGATTGACATTGCTGGGTAAGTGTCTCAGCCCGCCGAGTGCCAACTGTGTGTTACTTGACTGGGGTATGTTGTGGTGTTTGTTTGGTGGTGTTTGCTTGGTGGTTTTGCTTGTAAGTGGTGAAGTGTCTGTACTTGTGTATGATATGGAATGTGATGAGGATGGAAAGAATCCTTGCGAGCTCTGGTACGCAAGATACTGGCCATATTGGCCCTTTCTCCGGAAGCCTCTGCGTCGACGTTAGAGTTCAGAACATCTCCGGTGAGTGTGAGTGAGTCTCCTCTGTCCGTCCGCCTTCGACCTTTATGGCCGACCTTGACGATCGACCTCTGCCGTCGACCTTGACGGCCCGCGCCGCCGTGTGAGTATGTCGTTTTGCGTGTCTTCGGCGGTAGGTAACCTAACCACCCGTATTGCATCGTGTCTTTTGGATTGAAATCACTATATTGAGTTGAGCGCGTGTATGGGGCACACTGCGCGTATTGTATAGTTGTATTGTGTACCGTATTGTGTGATTTCCCTTGAAAGCTGATCCCGTTGAGGTTGATCTTTTGCGCCTGTAAAGCTGGAAAAAAAAACCACCACATTCAATCTAACCATTCAACAGGGTAGGTATTCGCCGGAAATTATCATGTCGTCAACCACAAAATCAGCGGGATGTCGTAGAAATGGCAGCCAACGGTGTCCGTATAAGTGACCGTCGCCCTTTACCCCCGTTCCTACACGACCTAGCTATTCCGCCCATTCAATTTTTTTATCTACATATATCTGCTCTTGTGAGACCCTTTATAGAGTCGTTTCTTCGCTAGATCGTCCTGAAACCAAAAAGCAGCATTCCTCCCTCGCTACTGAGAAACCCCCCCCCCTTGCCGAAGATGCGTCTCACAACAACCGCCGCCGCCGCCATTCTCCTCAGCGCAAGCGCCACCATCGCCCAAGCCTGCTCCCCAGGCTTCTCCTCGAACCGCAACCTCTCTCCCGGCGACTACGCCTGGCTCTTTGCAGACTACAGCGTCGACGACGTGGCCGGCTGCAGCAGCCGCTGCGCCCGCCAGTGCACCGCCCCGGGCAAGAGATACGGCGCCTGCATGGGCTGCGCGAGGTGGAAAGGCAACCGCGAGGGCAGGATGGACCTCCCGCCGTGCAGTAAGCCCGTCACGACTGCGAACGATGATGGGGAGTACGAGTGTCACGGGTACGGTGACGGGTTTTGGAATTGTATTACGCCGTGCCCTCCCGGGTATGAGGTATGTTTGATCCCGCAACCTTTTGAAAATAGGTCTGCGAATGCTGATGACGACGTCCCGACTAGTCCAAGGATCTGGGTCGTATTCAATGATCTCGAAGCCTCGAAAAACTTGTAGCATTCTTGAAAGCCGAGCCTTGTGCTCCTTAGCTCTGTGCTCCTTGTGAGCTCTGCATAGCGCTACTGTTCATCTACAAAGACTCACAGATCGCATGATTCCTCCTCCATAGTTTCCGAATCCGGCTCAAACTCCCGTGCCTATCACTCAGTGCAATTTGAACTGCCCACTGACTCCTTCGAAATTTGTAATCTTTCCGCCCAGCGATTTGGAGTCGCCATAGTAGCGGAAGCGGTAGGTCCCGGGCTTCGCGTCGCCCTTCGTCTCCCACACAATCTCAACCTCGCTCGTGGCGAGTATGTCACTCGTCCGCTTCCAGTGGAAGATCAGGTTCCAATCGTAATCGGTCCGTACGGTATCCCATCTCTTAATGGCCCCCTTGTCTATAGTCAACCTCTCCACAGCGGCGTACGTCTGCTCCAGGCGCAAGTTGTTACGAGGGTTGGCTCCAACAAATGTCGCTCTCACGACGTCACCAATGGTATACTTGTCTTCAACATCAGTCTTGACGTCGCCGAAGCTGCGGAAAACGGGCGTGCCATCTCGAACTACGCCAGTGATGAAGCTCAGGGAGCGGTTGGTGTTGTCGGGAGGATAAGGTCCCCCGGCATGAGCAGGAGGTCCCTTGGCGAAGGAAGCTCCCAAGGTAGGGAGATAATTGAGAGTTCGGTTGATGTACGCATCCAGCGTGAAAGGACCATATAGAGTTGAAGCTCCCTCGTACCGTTGTATTCTGTCAAAATTAGTCTTGAGCATCTTGGAGTGCTACAGCTGTGAGCTTACCCGTATTCCTGTGGCGTTGTGATGTAATGAGTGTAACTGTTTGCTGGTCCTCCAATGACTACGACTGGCTTCGCATCAGTTTCTTTGGCAAACAAGGACTCGGCCTGGTGTTTGACAGCATCTTTCCATCGCCTTCCAGCCATGGTCGAAGCCTCGCCTGGGCTGACAATGATAATCAGCTGGCCGACTCTGAATGTTTGAATATCCACAATATTTGGCGTCCATTGATATGGGTTGAATACTTCGCCAACATCAAGTAGGATAGGTTTGGGAGAATGACAAGCGACTTGGTCTTCCGTAGGTGCCTTCAACAGACCACCAACAACCTTCCACAGAGGGTTCGTATTAGTCGAATTCGAGTCGTGCTGGGTGAAGTCGAACGCCCCAGGACCATCAGACGTTCCCGCCGCGAATGAGTAGCCCAACGCCGCAGGACAGGTTCTCACTTCCGTTCCATTGGGAAGCTCAAATTGGAACTCTGACATGTTGTGGAAGGCATGGAATGATTTTACCCATGAGCCACGAACTCGCTGAGCCTTGGTCCCCATATCGTCGAACAGCTTCTTAGCAGCAGTGTACTGTCTCTTGCCAATTTCAAAGCAGGATGAGGCACCGTTATCCTTCTCGCGGAATAATGGGCCTCTGGCGTGACACTTTTGGCTCTTCCCGTCGCTGCATGTGCTTGTTTTGAAGTCGCAAGGCTCGCCGGTATCCTCGCAAAAAGCGCCTAGCACATTTGGGCTGACATCGCCCACATTGGCCTGAGAGAATCCAGCAACGAACCCCTTGGTTGCATCAGGCGACTTTCGCATACTCTTCTCAAATAGCCACGCTGCGACTCCCTTGTTGTCTCCCGAAATGAGGGTATTATTGCCGAGCATAGATGTGCCGTGAGTGGGAAACCATGTCAAGACACCGATGCTCTTGCCGTCTGACGCTCTTTGTAATTTTAGTAATGTCAGGTCTTTTTCAACAGACCCGTCATTCTCAGCGCTGACGTTGTATTTGGCGCGTTCTTCTTCCGGGTTCGCAAGATACGAGTACAGGCTACGGTTGATGTTCGCATCAGTGACCTTTGTTGAGCCAACACTAAGATGCCCCGGCTCTATGCTCTCATGTGCGCGACGGATCGCCAACAAGGTACCGTCAACGATGGCTCTGTAACTCTGCTGATCAAAGCCCTTGCTTGTGATTTGCGGAAGGAGGTAGTTGAGCCAGGCGCCCGGGCCAGAGTGCGAGTGTGTCCCGGTCAGCGCCAGGTTGTGATGACCGTACATGGAGTAGTCGAAGCCTAGCTCAGCAAGCCCGTGAAGAATACCATAGCGAACAGCTGTGTCTCCCGACTGTGTGTCCAGTACGAGGTAGATAAACCTGTCGTTGCGTCGCTCAACGCTTCCTACGATGAAAGCTCGGGCATATAGTCTTTGTCGAAGGCCAGTGCCAAGCTGTTTGGGGTCTGCGTAGCCCATCATGTTGATTTCCACGACCGGGCCGGTAATGTCGGCTCGGCCAGCACCGACAAGATACAAGTCTTTGTCTGCATCGATTTCGGGTTGCTCAAAGGTACCGGGAAACCATTTCCCCGTATCGATGAAGCTGCCTCCTGGGGTATAAAGTCCGTAAACAACGAGAAAGGATAGAATGAAGCCGACTACGCAAACTAGAGCTCTCCGGGAGCTCGGTGGGGAACTTGTTTTAGACGCCGCCGGCAAAGCGGGTCTCTTTTCGGCGTTCCGTTCTACAGGCATATCGTCTGAGCCTGGAAGAAATGGGGTATCAAAATAACATGGATGAAGTGAAGTGTAGAACAGGAAGATGAGAATGGATCACGGGACAAAATAAGGTGTTAGCGTCAAGCCTTCGAGAGCTGTGCGCCGTCAGGCAGTTGCGACACGGAACGTCCGGCCGGACCTCTGTAAGGGAGGGGCGGACGAATGACGCACGCGGCATGAAATTGTTAGTGCAGGACCACCTCACGAACGCCAACTCTTACTCTGATGACTAACTCCGTTTTGAGTTGAACATCTTTCTTTGATCAAGCTCGAAAATGTTTGGATGACATGGTTCAACTTTTGAGGAAGATCCATGACTTTCAAGTGCAGTCACACGCGAAGTAGTAACTATCGGGGAGGCAACTTGCCACATTCATGGAAATAAATCATTACTAAGCGAGGGCGAAACATAGCTAAAGTCCGGAGTCTTAGGCGTAAATAATTAAAACAAACATAAAAAAGATACAGATGGTTACTATATTCCAAAAGAAATGAAAGGCATTCGTGTTTCCGCAGGTTCCATCTCGCCTCCAACCACACCCGTTAGCATCCGGTATAGCATCAGATCAGCAAACCAACAACAGTCGGGTAGTAGTAAGCAGGGACCCTAGTAGTATTTGGGGTTCTTGGGGTCAGTCAAGTCGAAAATGACAGATGAGTGAGGTCGAGCGCCGCCGCGGTCACGAGTGAAGATGCTCTCAAAGTCGATCGATCTGTTGAAGCTGAGGCTTCCATCTGGGAGAATATCGAGCCAGTGACCCTTGTAATCTCCAGGGGTATTGACGATGGAAATCTATCACAAACAATATGTCAGTAAAAACCTCTGTACAGCAATGTCAAACATGAACAAGTATCGCGAGACTCACATCACCACCCTGCACAAAGTATCCAGTGACGAGCAGGTTCTTCTTATCCGGGCTGATCTTGACGTAGTGAGGCCCGATGATTGGCTGCGTCTCGTTGGGGTCGTCCAGTCTTTTGACGTTGTTCAAGTCGGAGATGTCGAGCGCTGCAACGTGGTTCCCCAGAGTGATGGTGAAGTATGCAAATTTGCCGTCATCGGTAATGTCCGAGTAGATAGCCAACGAGTCCTTGGCTTTGGAGCCCAGGTCAAAGAGTAGCTCAGCAACGCCTTGCTTCCCAGATGAATCACGGCGGAACGGGTAGATGATCCAGACTTGGCCAGGGCCGACAGCGGTAGCAATAGCAGCACTCTCGGGGTTGCCTGGGATGAACTTGACATCTTGGATACCCAGACCCTGGAAAGCATTAGATCGGCATGATTCATGTTGATGTGAATGGAGATACTTACGGCGGGGATCGTAATGGTCGAGATGATAGTCCTGTCGGACAAATTCCAGAGGCGAAGGGTGCTTGCTTTCTGAATTCCCAAAGTCGGCTTGAGGATGGTAATAGGCACGACAAAATCAGAGGTCAAGATGATTCCCTTGTTGAAATCCACAGCCAGGCCATGGGGGCTGAACTGCTCGCCGAGAATATTGAGCGTTCCAGCGACATCCTCTGGCCATTCATGGATGATGTCGCCCTCTGCGTTAGTCTCGACGAGACGGCCGGGTGAAGTGCCAACAGCACTGCCCATGTATGTGATGAAGAAACCACTAGTCGCATCATAACGTCAGTATTTCTCATGTTGCTTGGACCCATTCTGACAAGACAGAAACCAGAGCAAGGGCATAATTGGAGACAAGTAGCAAGGACAGTGACTTACCCCTCGGGCTTGGCGCGGATCTCGTCGACAATGGAACTCAGCAGAGCTCGGTTGGACTTCTTGAACTTGGGTGCGTAAGGGTTAGAGACATCGAAGTAAAAGGCCGTGTCCTGGGTCTTGAGCAGAGATAAGAGACCGCCTCCGATGAGTGTCTTCCCATCGAGGGAGCTACCCAGGTGATGAGGAGAGTTTCCGCTCGTAGGCACATCAGTCAGAGCAATGATCTGACCAAAAGTGTCCTAGGAGGCGAGAGTAAAAGTAAGTATTGCTCAACACGCTGGGTTTGGAAGTCAAGTTAGAAGCATAACTCACATCGTCCAAACTGGCAGTGACCAAGAAGTCCTTGTGGATATTGTCACCAGCTCCAGTCCAAAAGTAGCCAATTTTCTTCGGCTTGATGTTGGCGCCGGTGAAAGGAGGGCTCTCGAGAGGAGGCGTCGGAATCTGAAGAATGGGGAGAGGAGGAGCGTTGGAGGCTAGAGGTTCCGTGACTCCCGGGATGGAAGGAATCAGGGGAGGCAAACTGAGTCCCAGGGGACTTCTCTTGCTGGCAGGAGTGTAATCGTTGCCATTGACTGGCCCTGCTGCCGCCGGAGACAGCAGGAAGCCCGTGAGAGCTGCGAGAGAGATCTTGGAAAGCATCCTAAGGTAATTGAGCTGCTGGTAACAGTTCGCTGAAACAAAGTTGTCTGGTTGCTTGAATATGTTCCCAACACCAGATTGCTGGCTCTTGTCTATTGTTCTTATACTCCATTATGAGCTACAAGAAGCGTGGCTTTACAAATAACCGCATCTCTCCTCTGTACGTGATCCCACCTATGATCACATCATGAAGCCCATAAACCTCATCATCCACGCTATTTTGAAGAACGAGTATGCCGTGAACCAAGACGATAATCAAGATGCACCCAAGAGAACTTTCCCAGAGTCATGCAGCACAGGAGAGATGCCTGAACATGTCTCTGCCAAGAAGTCCGGACTCACATATTGCCTATCACAATTCAAAGATTAATAGCCTCTAGCCCTTCGTGGCCAAGTTCTGTTGCTCAAGAGGAAAGACTGCAATATCGTGATCTTGTCGAGCCCGGAAGCTTAGGTGTCCGGTGAGCTCGAGCTGTAGAACACACCACTTAAGTCCTTGACGATGTCTTGACTTCGCGTCAAGCAACGCTAGTGCAGTCCAGCGCTTCGGCAATGAGACCAGAAAGTATGCTTAACGAATGTCAAGAAGTTGATCGACGTTTAAGGCGACCACGCGAATGGCCATGGGGAGATGAAAGACTGCAGATCATCTCTCAACTGGACGACGTAGGTATGTTCTTTGTTGGAAGACAGGGACGAGATGTACCAGACTCAGATAAATATCGATAGTACCGAATGGCATCATGTGGAACGAATAGAAATTCGGGTTCACGTCAGGACTCAAAACGGATGGGTCCAATTCCGCACGAGATCTCAGTGAGGCTGAACGGCAAGGGACGTTGAGGCATGCAACGGAGGCGTCTCTGGACCTACCACTGCGTCGGGCATATCAAACCTTAACTTCTCTAATTTGTGTGAAAAGAACATGACTGAGAGATACTGATGGCGATCTTGTATGTGTTGGAGAGGGCCCTGGTAGTGTAGCGTATTCGTGCTCGACTAGTATGCGGATTGGGTTGACCAGCCATGCTTACTTGCACACGGCTGGCCTCAACATGAGAAAGAGCGTAGACTAGTCAGTGCTTCAAAAATTCACGTGGGGAAAGAGTATGTGCCGTAGCGTTTCTTGTCAATGTTTTCACTGCAATGTTGGCGCCCTCTCTGTGTTGTCCTGTTCGAATCCTCAAAATTGACTGCCAGAGTAGCGGACGAGAAGTCTTGAGAACCGTCTGATTTGCGGTCAAGGATAGCTATGTGTTGAAGACTGCCTCTTTCTATCTTACATTCTCTAGCAGAGTCGAAGTGGTACTGACAATAGGTACCCGTGCCTCTACTTCAGATCAACAAAGATCACGACTTCGCCCCGACTTTGGAGCGCAATACTTAGGCCTGCGATGAAGAAAACCATCACAAACATGCAGCTTACACTCTAGCCAATATCTGCAGTAAGACAAGGTTAAAGTAAATTACCACAGCCCATCGCGTCAAAGTAAGCTTCAGTCAGGCTAGTGAGGTGCCGTCGATAGGGATCAGCGCTCAAGCAGTCTTTCCCCCACGCTTTCCCACGATGTCGTTATTTTCGGACATATGTCGAATAGCCGGGGTCCAACCTAGCGGCGCATCCGATTCAAAGACAAATGCGGTCGATCATCCAGCCAATATCACACCAACTCCCATCGAACACACGTACACACTCTCGAATCTGAAAAAGATGCCGGTGAGACTCCAATTGGCATAGTCAATAGTGTCTACCGGAAAGCAACGATGCCGCTGAATGGTCAATGTCGCCATCGCGAACCGTTGCTTCTGCAGCTGCAACCTCAACGCCATAGTTACTCTTTACTTTGAGCGTGATAGAATGGGAAATTTCGCCATCGCGCCGGGGTAATGAAATATTGACTGCAGAATTGGAGGCGGTGTTTCGAAGGTTAGAGACACTTATAAAATATAGTTTGCAGGTTATCCTCCCCCTTGCGGTGTTTCGTTTCACCTCCCACACTCTGCACCTCCGTCACAAGCCTTGTTTTCCATTACCTGATAGAATGAGACTACTTCAGACCTCCGTAGTAGGACTCATAGGCCTCGTGGCCTTTACGAGTGCCTCGCCTCAAGTTGCGAAGAGAGACTCCCAGTTCAATATCGGACAGCCCATCGACGCCAACGGCAAAGGGGCCCCGATCCTGGGTAAGTAACACGACACACAGCTCAACCTCACAATTACAATCCAAACTGACGAGACGACGCTAGGTGGTACCAATAACGCAATCGACAGAGAGAACCCAGATAACCTCGGCCGGCAATCCACTGACAGCGGCGTGGTGCCCAACTTGAAATGGAGATTCTCTGATTCCAAAACCCGCATCTTCAACGGAGGCTGGGTCCGCGAGCAGGTCATTCAGGACTTGCCTCAAAGCCACGATATTGCAGCGGCCCAGCAGCACATCAAGCGTGGCGCGGTGAGAGAGCTGCATTGGCATCGGGTCGCGGAGTGGGGGTTTGTCTACTCTGGCTCGATTATCATTGGAGCCGTCGGCGAAGACGGAAAAAGCCAAGTTGAGCAACTCAACTACGGCGACATATGGTAAGACCAAGACTCAGTGGTCGAAGACGACTTCATTCTGACGTGCGTTCCAGGTATTTCCCCAAAGGTGCCGCTCACTATGTGCAAGGAGTTGCTGAAGAATCCGAGTTTCTCCTGGCCTTCGACGAAGCCGACTTCGACAAGATTGGGTGGGTCCTCCCCCTTCTACTTGGCACTCGCATAGGGAAATCAACTGACATTTAGAAGAACCACATTCAACATTGTCGACTGGCTGGCCCACACTCCGAGAGACATCTTGGCCAGGAACTTTGGCGTCGACCGTTCCGTTTTTGACAAGCTGCCCGCCTCGAACCCGTACATCCTGAACGGAACCGTGGCAACCACGAACGTGACAGTTCCTCCGGGGCAGTACCTATCCGGCAATAGTTCATTTGTGTACCGCACCTTTGAGCACCCGCCCGAGAAGGTTCCCGGCAATGGCGGCGAGTTCAGGAAGATTGACTCTACCAACTTTCCCATCGCTAAGACTATTGCTGCTACCTTTGTCACCCTGAAGCCTGGCGGGTTGAGGGAGCTCCATTGGCATCCCAACGCGGAAGAGTGGCTTTACTTCCACAAGGGCAAGGGGAAGGCGACTGTATTCATTGGAAGTGCCGCGTCGAGAACCTTTGACTTGGAGGCGGGAGATACGGCGGCTTTCCCTGACAACAGCGGGTGAGTAGATGTTCGTCCGGAGGGAGCGGAATATGTCCTTGCTAATTTGCTGCATAGACACTACATCGAGAACACCTCTGACACGGAAGACTTGGTATGGATCGAGCTGTACAAGTCTGACCGCGTCGTGGACATTTCTCTGACACAGTGGCTCGCTCTCACGCCGCCTGAAGTAGTCGCGCAGACGTTGAAGGTTCCGATTGAGTTTGTCAAGGAGTTGAAGCAGGAGAAACAAATTCTGATTTGAACAGTATGGTTTCTGCACGGAAAGGTGAAGGACTACAGTTCGGAATGATATTGGTCTGCTTTTTCTCTTCTACTATACTTGGTCTGTCCGCATTCATGGCCCGATGCGCACATGGCAGAGGAGACATGGGTGAAGAGAGACGACGGCAATTGAAGAGAACAGCAGAGGCGATGAGAGAATGTCGCTTCAATTGTACAACTGTCTGACGATTCGCTGTGCTCGAAAGATGTGGTGTGAATAGAAGAGTATGGGTATAATTCTCAATGGCGAAGAAGCTAGCGTTGGGAAAGTTTCACTTTTTAGAACCTATTACTTAGATTTGTTGTAATTAGTTGTTCACTCAAGTTATCAAATGACCGTGGAAACTCAATTGCTCACAGAGCTACCCAAAAGTTCAAGTGGGTGGGCAACCGTCACGAGGTCACGATGGCATCCAGCGACTCATATTTCGCACTTGAACTTGCAGAGCAACGAAAGCCTGATAAGCGGGGAACGAGAGGAGACACACAAGGAAATAAGCGCCTCGACGCCAAAAGTCCGAAAGCATCTCCAACTCCATCATTTCCCCAATTGAGAGATGTAGACGGGAGACGGGAACGGAAAATTCGGTAGGATGGCAGCACACGTTATGCAGGCAACCCCCCGGCGGACCATAGCCGGAAACTCTATCAGCGAACTAGCAGCTCTCTGGAGTCTGGTCAAGCCGTATCACTGTGTGTAGAAGTGCTGTGTGGGCAATGAGGGGTGGGAAAGGTTGATGGGCTGTCAACACTACCAGTGCTGGATTCTAAAACCCCCCAATCACGCGGAATCGTATGATTGGGGATAGATTGTGCAATGGTGAATGAAGCCATTGGCGAAGGGGAGGGTTGCAGAAAGCATCCCACTGACCGCTCGCGAGCTATCTCGGCTGCCATCGCAGCGAACCTTCCTTGGGTCGTTCCGTCGTATCATGAGCTGCCTTGGCGAAGCACGGCGGAAAGGGAACGGCCACTTTCGATTCTGAGGACATGGTGGTGTGAAGAAAGGAATAAGAAACGCTGGGACGGACGGCCAAGCCACCCCTCGTTCGGTCTGGTTTAGTAGGCAGACGGCAGTTGTTCCGAAGCAATCACGACTTGGCCATAGGTTGAGACCACGTTGGGGGCGGAATGCGGGGAGACAGGACTAGAGACACTCGAGACAGTGGTAGGTATCCGGACAACATCGAACTCTCCCAGATGATGGACTGTGTGATTTGACGAGGACGAGCTCTGATATCGTTCCTCTATTCTCCCTGACCGGTATGGCAGGGATGACAGCTTTACGTCACTCCGATGCCTTCTTATTGCTATATCAGACATGGGGGATCATCCCCTCCATTGGCTAGGTGTCGCACCTGGGATTGCCGTTTGCCAGTCAAAAGGCTGATAAGGCATCGCGATGAAGGGGTCGAAGGTCGCCATGACGGGTAAAGAGCCTGGGAGCTTGGATCCGGTTCTCCTGATAGTGTCGACCGGATATGCGACCCGCGGGTCGGCCGCAGGTACCACGGACGGCAGATATTAGGAAGCCAACGAAAGACGGAGCATTGATACAGGTCGATCTGATGGCCGTGCTCTCCCATCGAGACCCTAAGGATCGCCAGGGTACCGATCAGGGCCATCACCTTGTTGTTCTTGGAATTCGTTTGCCTCTGCGGAGACTAGGAACCTCTGGTCCAAGAATTGCGTCGTATCCTCTGTGTGGCAGTGCTTGAACACGACTGACCCGGCACGACAAATATGAAGGCCGTGGAGGAACAGCTCATCCCTTCCGTATGGGGTCGGGACCGAGAGGTCAAGTGAACAGCAGGAGGGTTTCCGGTAGGACGGCACGCTGTGTCATCGGCAACGGTTACGCAGCCCGCGGTGGAGACGCGTTGCTGGTGCCGGGATGCTGCATTGGTCGGGAAGGGAGTGACAAACGAGGGATTGGGCTGCTGCTGGTATCCGTACGGATACCAAACATATCTTCTTGTGCCACAGGTAGAAAGGGTTATGTCAAGGGTTGAGACTTGAAGTAGGGAGACGATGGTGACAAACTTGAGTCTAGGTATGGGACTCGAACTCACTCGCGAGTTCCACGAGTGTTCTCGGGTGACAACCAGCATCATGTGAAGCAAGTTGCAAGGTGAACCATGTCTCGTCGCGGAAGCAGCCCCTAGCAGGCACCTCTCTGGGCAAATAGGGACATCTCCATGTCGTGGCTGTTCCATGAAAAGACGTCGCCGCCCCGTTATTTGTGTGTCATCGCGACCCGGCCAGAGTTGGGCCCAATGGAGCCGGATGGGCTGGCACAACAAGGCATTGCGCTGCAGAACGAGGTTAATTACACGGCGAATCGTCTATAGGCGGGGGATTAGGAATGGGTAGCCCAGCAATAACACAGACTGTAAACATTCATGCAACCTATGTGAATGGATAGTTCGTCGATGGGATGGGCACTTCCTTCACAGGATTTGAATCTGGATCTCGACCTGGACCCTTCTTTTTCTCCTTCTCTCTCTGTCTATTGTTCTACACTGTGTAGTTAGTCTTCCCTTATGCTTTGCGCTTCTTTGCGGTGGACGGAAACCAGATGAAACCGAAATTTTCCCAGCTCGCATGGTTAGGTATCCGCAGACAAGTTGATCGTAGTGGTCATAATCCACCGTATCCTCGAACCCAATTGCCCTACCCTGACCTGTCAATTTTTCGCATCCGCTCGTTCTAATTCCCAGTGCCTCTCGCCGTTCTTATGCCATTACGTGGTTTACCTTGGAGGCCCATATTCACCTTACGAGGTTTGAATTACATACCCATTATCAAGATACCTTTAGAAGAAGAGTCACAGTTAGTACGTACTGCCATCTACCTAGCATCCTAAGCGTAACCCCGATAGATAAGTATGTACGGACGGCAAGAGCAGTGAAGGTACTCCTTCCGAGTGGTAGGTAATAGAGTACGTACTTCCTCCAGCCGGCTCGCTCTGGCGTTGGGCCGGCCTGCCTTCACTGTCAAGCTCCTCAGGTCCCCCCTCTCCCCAAAAAAGAAAGGGGCCCCGCAGAAAACCGCACCCGCCGCCTTACAACCCACCTGCACCTCCAACTCCCGTCACATTCGCACCTGCATCCCACTTCCGTCTACCTTACCTCCAACCGACCTCCTCCCTAACTCTTTCTTCCACCAATCTTTTTTTCGTCTTCTTCACATTGCGAGCCTCTATCGAGCAGAAGAAACACCTTCTTATCCAGTGCGAAACCAGCCAACAAGATGAACCCTCTCCAGAAGAACAAGGTCGACGTCTCGGTACGTTAAACCCAGCCACTCGCTACCCAATGCCCCACCTTGACGATGAAGCCCGCGATGGCATCACGACTTGCGAGGCAGTTCAATTCTCACTACGTTACTTGATAAATCCGTTACTAAACTATACCATCATAGTCCCTTTCCCCCGAGGAACAACGTCTTTTCCGCCTTTACGGAAAGCTCCCCTCTCGCTCCGACCACTTCGCCAAGCACTTGAAGGACCGCAAGTACTTCGATTCGGGCGACTACGCCATGTCCAAGGCGGGCAAGGGTGACAGCGTCGATACTGGTGCCGTCGGATCCCAGCACCCTGTTCCCGAGAACATCCCCCATCTCTCGAGCCCCGTCAACAACTCCTCCTCCTCCCTCAACGGCAACAAGCACCACGGCAGCATCGCCGCCGGTGCCCACGCCGGCAGCCCTGTCAAGGAGGCGAGCTTCCTCAACAGAGAGACCAGTGCTGAAGAGGCCGAGCTTAAGGGCCAGGAAAACACCTCTCCAGTCGACGGAGCCGCAAAGACCGAGGCTATCCCTATCCGGAGATGAGGGCCCTGCAGGACCTTTTCGTCTATACTCTCTCCCTAGTCCCAAGTTTCGTAGGGGTGTTGTTGAAACTATACGGCGGCAAATTGGGTTGTTTCACAGGGCCGGTTTTTACTACGATGTTATGATGCTGTGTTGATGTTTTCACGGGTCTCCTAGGCGTTAGAATGGGGTTGGGAACCAAGTACAAATGGTTGTTGAAAGGAATGAGACGCTTGTCTCTGAGTTTGTCTGCTGTGGAAGGACTTGCAGATTACGACGCTCTCAAGGTCGCGCCACTGGATATCCTGTCCGCGATGTACGGCACTATTGCGAAGATTGAAGCATTTCCGTACAAGCTTTGTTTTAGGACTGAAGGAGGAGGATGAAAGAAGAACGGCAGGCATATGGAGGCAAATAAATCGAGACCCCCTTCGTCTTATCCGTATGTGCGCATGGCCATACATGCGTTTCTTACATGTGACGGCCTTGTTGGTTCTTGCGGACGCTCGCGTTTCCCTCTCCCCAGCACCATCTCAGGACAACCCTTGTCTGCGGACCTATTGGGACTTTCCATCACCTGCACGGCTCGAGGGTTCGCAGTGGGCTCGATCCGTGCAATTAGTATCACAAAAATGCTTACAGTTTTCAATATTGAAATGGAGATGTTGCGGGGACCCAATCTGTTGATGAGCAATAAGACACTTCTTTTGATGCCATACGCCGTTCCGTATCCCAGTAACCTTCCTCCCAGTGGACAATCTCTATAGGTGCCCTTTTTCACAGATCCAGACCCTTGATCGCCATATCCTTGGCGCCTTCAAAAGTCTTGTTTCCTCCAATGAAGCCAGCCGCGTGGACAAAGACGCAGCCGGGGATGCCAGAGATGCCGTCCAGTTCCGCATCTCTGAATCCGCGCCACGCCTCGGGCAAGGGCTTGCGGCTCTCGAAAGAGTCCTTGGTGACGGGTACTGCCTGCACACGCCACTTGGCATCGGGTGTAGGCTTCTCAGGGTACAAAACGTACACCACCGAGGGGTTGCCTCCCTCGAGGGAGTAGAGGTGGTCCTTCCAGGGTGCGCTCTGGCCCTCAAGAACGAGCACGCGGCCCTGGGGGTCGTACTGGGTGCGCTTCTCGAAGGCGGCCTGCACGACGGCGCGGGCGGGAAGCCAGGCCTTGGTGTAGTAGTCCAGGTCGGCGTCAAACTCCTCGCCGATGCGGCGGCTGGCCTTGACGAAACGCTCGTCCTCGAGCTTCTGGGCCTCGACGGGGTCAGAGGGGACCGGATCGTTCCAGTTGGCGTTAAGGCGGCCGACGACAGAACCGAGGGTGAAGGCGCCCTCGCTGAAGCGCTTCTCGAGACCGGCGGCGGCGACGGCCTTGGGGTCGTAGACGGAGATGCCGTTGTCGTGGGCGTCCAGGGCCTCGACGAAGCTCTCGTACAGCTTGTTCCACAGCAGCTCGACTTCGGCACTGTCCTCTGCGACAGGGGTCTCGGCGCCCTCGCTGAGCGTCTGGGCGATGATGGCCTTGCCAAAGTGCATAAAGACGAGGCCGGCGCTGGAGAGCTTGGTGTTCTTGCCAGGGAAGGTGGTGACGAAGCCGCGCTGATGGTGGTCGTAGCGCTTTTTGCCGTCGTCGTACTCGCCGCCGACGTCGACGACGGTGTGGCAGGTCTCGAGGAGCTTGGGATCGCGAGTGCGGATCAGTTGGGAGTCGTGGTAGGTGGGCAGCTTGCGCAGCATGTGCACCGCGAGGGCCTCATCGGCGTGGAAGTGGCCATTGTGGGTGCCGATGGTGACGGGTGACATCTTGAGTCTCTTTGCTGCGTTTTCGGCCATTCGTAGAGGTTTAAAGAAGCGGAACATACAATTGAGGGACGGGAACGAATAATTACGAGATTTTGAAATAAAAAAACGTTTGTGGGAACTGCAGTTCAATGATTTTCGACAAGTCTCTCTCTCACTGGTGAAGGAAGAATTGGAGAGTTTGAGATGTGATAGTCACACCCCACTTTGACGCACAAGGCCCACACCCTCTCTCACCTTGGAAGGTCGCTTATCTGAACTCCCCGCGTGGCTCTAATCTTGACGCTTTTCCCAAGCTCTCACTGGAGAGAAGTGGCCAGGAACGTGCATCGTAGCCTCGTCGTCGCCCTGCATCCGCGCGCCCGTGGAAACTCCATATTCAACCAACAGTCAGCCGTAAATGTCATCAATACCAACCCCAAATCTTTCCCATCGCCAATGGTAGAATCCTCTCGCCATCCGCCATCTACCATCAACAGCCTCTTTCTTCAATCGATCGAAACAATCTTCGAATCACGAATAATTGCTTCCTTCTACAACTAACGAAAACTCCCCCGTGTCGCCCGCGCCCATGCCATCCGCGATGAGCGACGCCAACGGCACCGTCGCCACCCGCGACGTCAAGGCCGAAGGTCAAGAAACCGAAGATGAGGAAAATGGAGAGGGAAAAGCGACATACAAGTCATGGAAGAAGAAGTACCGCAAGATGCGCATCACATTCGATCAGAAGATGCACGACTGCGAGGAATTGCACCGTCAAGAGTCACTAGCGCTTGCCACTGCGAAGCGCATCGCCATCGAGAACGAGTGAGTATTTTCTGGCGTCTATCAACTGTCATGTTCCACGTGAATTATTGCTGAACGGTTGCTAATCCACTGTGCCAGTCGCATACTCGACCTGCTCCTAGACATGAACTCCTCGGCTCAGCTGCCCTTCGACAAGCGCTTCGATCTCTCCCAAGACCCGCCCAAAGATACATCGTTTCCACCTCTTGATGTCGACACGTCTGAGAAGAAGTCTGATGAACCTACCAAGTCGTTGGACACACTCCTTAAGGAGGTCCCGCATTATACCTACTCCCAAGCAAAGGAGCAGGATCCCACCGTCGTGGCCGATATGGAACCGTTTTCCGGCGAGCCTCATCCTCCTTCGTTCCTGACGACCGATGATATTGATGACTATATCCACGACGTGGACCGACGCATTGACTCCGATAACCTGCTTCCAACACTGGCCCCTGTCGCCCGCAGCAACGCTCCTCTCCCGGAGACCAACCCGCACGCCCTGTCCCAAACGATCGCGATGAAGAATCCTACGAGCGTCTACAATTGGCTCCGTAAGCACGCGCCGAAGACCTTCCTACAGGATGCCGAGAACGCCGCACCCGCCGGAGACGAAGAAGCAGCCGAGGCACCTCCGACAGACGGCCGAAGGCGACGCGGCGGAGGCGCGTCAAGGGGTGAGACCCGGGGCGGCCGCGGATCGCGAGGCGGTAAGCGCGCCTCGCTCGCAGCCGTACGAGCCGAGAAAGCTGCGCAGCGAGCCGCAGAGAAGGCAGCCGCAGCGATGGAAAGGGCGGCCGCCCTGCGCCGTGACGCCGATAGCTACGACCACAGCATGGAGGAGGCCGACTCGGACGGCCCTAGCTTCGCGACTCCGGCCACGGGTCGCGGCAAGAGAAAGCGCGCCGGTAGAGACGACGATGACGGGTACCGGCCCCGCGGCTCGAGCAGCAGGCCGACTAAGAAGAAGCGGAAGAGCGAGAGCGCTGACGTGAGCACCCCGACCGTATCTAAGAGAGGTCGTAAGAGCGAGCTCTCCCGCGACAGAGACGACTAGAAGCCGCGTCGACGTAGATTACCAAGTTATTCGTCAGATGACCGACTTGTTTTTTTGGGAGGCCACTCGATATATCACGAGCAATCGGGCTAGTATGCTTGATTGAAGCACAGAAAACTTTCTTTCCTAGACTTGTACACTACATCATGCATCGATGGATTCTCTTTTCTCTTATTTTCCTTTGAACTTTGTTGTTCTTTCCCACGCCCCATATGGTGCGCGGCCTCATGAGCAATGTACGTGGGGTGGGCACAAATGAGAGATAGGGGGCGGAAAGACAGTGAGGGCGAGACGGGAGAGCTAGGGTGCTGAAACTCAAGGAAACGGCGTAACGGAAGATTTCTTGACCGGATCCAGATTGGGATGGGCAAAATTAGGGATTAGCAATGGGACATCTTTTTTTCTCGTTTTGTTTCTTCGCACGGGCATGGTCTCAAATCTCCGAGATCAAACAAGCAAGTGGGCGTATTGTGTTTCTGTGTTGTGAACTTGACATTCGGTATTTACCAACTGTAGTCTTTCACTATGTACAGACAAATTCCACCCCCTAGTATGCCTTATGTCCATATTCCCCTCTTCGTGACATTTTTTCTGTTTCTCGCGCAAGGGGAAAAAAAAAATGCTCAAACCAGATGATATCAAGTTGCCTGAAACAAAAACCAGAAAGAACAGAGAGAGTCAACGGAAGATACAGAGAGATGACCCATCATGCTTCTGCTGCTTCGATATGCAAGAGATAGAAAACAAGATTCGCATGTTCACGCAGGTTAGATACAGAGGGCCCTCTTCTCTGAGCACGAGACGGTGGGAGGGGGGGCCTCGTAGATCGTTGATCCTTCCGCCTCCTTTCTTACATCTCGAGGGGTTCGTCTATCCCATAGGAAGCCGGCTTTCGCCACCTCCTTCTACAGAATGTAGCGTTTTTCTGAAGTCTACAAGGCCGAAGGGCGGTGATGGTCTTGAACAACGGCGGGCCCGCATTTCTTTCTTTGTCTTTGATTTACAACTTCTCCTTGAGGATGTTCTTCATGCGGCGCTCGACGGCGTTGAGGTACTCGTTGGTGGTGACGTAGTCAGAGCGGGCAGTCTTGCCGCAGGCGAGGGCCAGGTCCTTAGTCATGATGCCGTCAACGTCGACGGTGTCAATGCAGGCCTTCTCGAGGGACTCGGCAAAGGCGATGACTTCGGGGGTCTCGTCGAGCTTGCCGCGCTGGATGAGACCGCGGGTCCAGGCGAAGATGGAGGCGATGGGGTTGGTGGAGGTCTCGTTGCCCTTCTGGTGCTCGCGGTAGTGGCGGGTGACGGTGCCGTGAGCGGCCTCGGACTCGAAGGTCTTGCCGTCGGGGGTGATGAGGACCGAGGTCATGAGACCGAGGGAGCCGAAGCCCTGGGCGACGATGTCGGACTGGACGTCACCGTCGTAGTTTTTCAGGGCCATGATGTAGCCGCCCGAGGACTTGACCATCTGGGCAACCATGTCGTCAATGAGACGGTGCTCGTACCAGATGCCAGCGGCCTCGAACTCGGCCTTGTATTTGGTCTCGTAGAGCTCCTGGAAGATGTCCTTGAAGCGACCGTCGTATTTCTTGAGGATGGTGTTCTTGGTGCTCATGTACAGGGGCAGCTTCTTGGTGAGAGCGAGCTTGAAGGAAGCGTGGGCGAAGCCGGTGATGGACTCATCCGTGTTGTACTGGGTCTGAGCGACACCACCACCGTTTTTGAACTTGTAGACCTCGATCTCCTGGGGCTCGCCGCCCTCGGGGGTGTAGACCATCTTGAGGGTGCCGTTGCCGGGGAGAACGGCATCCTTGGCGCGGTACTGGTCGCCGAAGGCATGGCGGCCGATGATGATGGGCTTCTTCCAGCCGGGCACTAGGCGGGGAACGCGGGGGATGACGATGGGTTCGCGGAAGACGGTACCGCCGAGGTGGTTGCGGATGGTGCCATTGGGGGAGAGCCACACTGTTGGGAGGGAAGGGAAGCCATTGAGTTAGTCCATGTTCTTTGTAGTGCTAGGTAGAGTTGCTTCGGGGGTGCTTTAAGAGGAACTTTAGGATGCGGTGACGGAACTGTGCAGGTCCTAAGGACGTGTAGAGGGGAGACCCCATATGCATGCGCCGGCGCTGCATCCCCGGGGTGCGGGGAGCGGGAAAATGAGACAAGCCTCTCGGCGCGGAAGCTACAAGCACGGGGGTTTTGACCAGTCTAAATGCCGGTGGGACACTCTTGAGCGGACACGGAACGGTACCGGGAAGGGAAGGGGGAGTAGACGGTGGAAAAGACACCCAATGCACGTCACTTACTCTGCTTAAGCTTGAACTCCTCCACGCGCTGCTCATCGGGAGTGATGGTGGCGCACTTGACACCGACCGAGTACTTCTTGATGGCCTCGGCGGCGTCGAGGGTGACCTTGTCGTTGGTCTCGTCACGGTAAGGCAGGCCGAGATCGTAGTACTTGAGGTCGATGTCGAGGTAGGGGTGAATGAACTTGTCCTTGATGGTCTGCCAGATGATGCGGGTCATCTCGTCGCCGTCGAGCTCGACGACGGGGTTCTTGACCTTGATCTTGGCGGCGGCGGCCATTGTGCGGGCAAAGTTGAAGGAGGCGGAGGAGGAGAAGGAGGCGGAAGACTGGGGGACGATGAAGGAGGGCCGGAGGGCAAAGGTTGCGGGACGGCGGAGGAAGCGTGCTGCGTTCATGATGGGCGGTTTGTGAGGCGACGGCGCGCGGGAGGATTTGAGATTTGAAGGATTGTTTTCGGCTTCTCGGTCGGGATGGCGGCGGCGGGGGAGCTTCTTGGGCCGCGGTTACCAGGAGGAGCCGGGTCGTGTGATCCGGTAGTGAGCTTCGGGTGGTGGCGGCGGCGGCAGAAGCAGATGCAACAGCACGATGACTGGCTTGCTGCAGGCTGTCAAGAGTGCAGAATGTACGAGCGGATGAGGCGCTTGACAGCTAAGCTACGAACAAGGTGCTGACGATCGCGAAGCTACGGAGGGCACCACTAAGGATGCTGTTTAGTTTTTTTGGAGAAGGAGGAGAAGGATGGAAGGTTTGCTTGCAAAGGGCAGACAGCAAAACCGCGTAGGAAGATTGGTTTGGGTGGGAGGAGGGAAAAGAGGTAAGATGGCCGGTTGCAATTGAGACCTTGTCGAAGCAAAGAAAGACAGGAAAAGGGCAAGTCGAGCAAGAATTTCGAGCAGTAGAAAAACCTCAGTCGCAGCAGCAGGAGAGAGAGAGACAGAGAGAGCGGGATGGCAGCCGAGCCGAGATCGTCACAGGTGTGCCTTCCGGGGACCGGTGTGTGGGTGTGACGGTCTGAGGTAGAGGTACCACAACAGCTCTGATTTTGCGGGTATCACGTCCCAGTCTGTCACTCTTCGTTGGTCGCAAGGTAACGGCTTGTAAGTAGCAAGACTAATGAGATTGGTCAAAAGGCATGGATACCATCGGCCCCCGGCCAGTCTTGCCTCAAGGGGTTGCTGTTCCAGTCCCTTTTCCTCCGTCTCGGACCTCTCTTCGGCCTTTGCGCTTCTCGGGGCTCATTCTTCTGACTCTGATGAGTCCTTTTCATGATCCTATATCGGCGGGCTCTGGGCATTTTTCCAGTCCTTGCTAGATCTTAGGAGCTAGAGAAGGTTTTTGCGATATTTTTCACTCCAGATATGACTCTGAGGACTATGAGGAGCAACTACAGTAGACTCAGTTGTCCAAAGACTACGTACGTATGGTACGCGCAAGTTCTTCGCGCAACCCGTCGCATGACAAAAAAGCAATCCGACGCAAATCTTCTGCAGCAACTTTTTCGCTGCTTTCTATTGTCTCAGAACTACCGCCTGTGACCCTTTCCTGGGTCTTGGCCCGTCTCTGCTGTTTGCGGACCAATGCCAATTCGTCATCTGCTCTGAGAGAGGGAGCATGGGGAGCAATGCATGAAAGCAGTGTGATTGGAAGGGTTAATAGGAGCCTTCGTCCTCAAGAACACAAAAGGTCCCCCTTGTCCAGTCTTTCCTCCTCTCCCGAATCCCATGTCCTCCCACCACCCACCCCACATGTTGCCAGAGAGCTTCGTGCGGGGAAAGCAACCAAGAACAGTCGAGACGAAACAGCATCCCAAAGTTGGTCACCAGACGATTTCGCGCACAGCCGATTGTTTCGTCTGTTGTCAACTTTGCTTGCTGCTCGCTCTGATGTAGAGTTTTTTTTGTCTCATGGGGATGTTCATGCTGTGGACCTCAACTTGAGATGAATGTAAATTTGATCTTATCAAAGTATGGGGATGGTAAAATAGGCGTTTTCTCGGCATCGTGTCACTTTGGGCTCGCGTGCGGAGTTTCTCCTGCCCGCAACGACCCCCAAAATGGAACGCTTCGAGTTCAATCGCATTCGCAAAAGAAGCTGTATCACAACGTCACCCAGCTCATTATGTAGTCAATCGTGTCAGTCCATGACAGAGCCTCCTCACTTCCAGTGAACCAACCCCCTGCGATAGCTTCAAGGAAAAACTTTTTGCTATTCAACTGAGCCCCGCAATGACTGCTTTTCTTGCATACAGCGGAGCTGGACATGCTCCGATCTCGGTCGCACTAGGCCCGCAGACCCGACCTCCCGCGATAAGATCACAACGACCACCGAAGGAAGCACCGAGGTGTGGATCTTTGTCCCGTCCCTTGGATGCCTTACATAAGCCAGGCCATCCGATCTCAACCTTACCTAAGCTATGAGTCACGTGTTCCTCGGTATTCTCCCACATTGGCCTTCTGTCATCGAGCGTTGACAGCGTCAGCTCGAGGCATGCACGGTATCATTCCGTCCCTCGCGACCCGCGGAGGCTCGTGCATGTACGACTGACACTCGAGAATCAAAATCACCCTGTGCCTCCATCCCGTGTACGAACATACGAATGAAGTGCCCGAGTGACCGCAAGCCAGGCCCAGATATGCGCAGTTGTCATCGAAGGCGTGTAACTCTGGCAAAAAGGACACACGCCCCTCTCTCTGCGCCTCTCTCCGCCCGCCTGACAGGAACGATGGAAACCTGCAATGCAACGACATATGGTTCTTTTTTCTGGTGTGTGATGATTTTGGGCGTCTAAACGGATATTTTTCCCTGCTTGTCAGATATCGATAGTTCGCAAAAGCACAATGCCACTTTGACTCAGCCGAAAACGTTCAGTTTTCGTCAGACCTTGGCCTTGTCTTTCTCTCTCTCTACGGATACCAATACCTGCCATTACCTACCTGGTATTAGCCCCGTACCCCTTTTCGGTCTCGGACGAGAGGATGCAAGGCGCCCCGGTAATAGCAACCGAGAGAAGGCGTGCATTTTTCTACCACTTATCCTTAGGTACCGTACCGCTGTCCGCTGCCGCTGTCACTGCCACACTTTTGCCCAGCTGCTTGTCTCAATTGCATCTCACTACGTCTCACTTTCTCAACCTCTTCAGCCCTATCCCAAGAGGTTCTCTTCCGAACTTGCATGCTTTCCATGCCACCCTCCCTTCCCCTCCAGATCCTTCTCATCTCACTTTCTTTTCTTTTTTCTCCAGGCTTTGAACGTTCCACAGACACAAGCCAAAAGACGGGCATTTGGGTTGCAGTCGATCGAGATAGTCGGTCAAAAAGTGTCTAAACAACTCACACATTTGTCCCTGTCGGCCCATCAATCCTTCCGTGCCTTCCTGCCTGCAACCACGGGGGGGAGGATCTTCAGTGCCGTTGTCCGATCCGACTTAGGTTTGTGATCTTCTTTCTCTCTCTATCCCACTTCCTGCCCGATGCCACCTCATTTTGCCTAACTAGCCTACGCCCTTTTGTCTCTGGGGTTTGGCAAAAGTCCCGGGGGTGCTTCCTCCTAGGTAACACGAAGCTGCCTTTACTGCTGGTAAACGAAACGCAGTCACGGATACGGCACAAGAAGAACACCTCCATTAAACAGTAGTGATAGTGTGATGGTGATAATGACGAAAGATGATTATACACCCTTTGCCGATGACTCACCAAGTCCAAAAGCCAAGCTACAATCCAAAGGAGGAAAAAAAATAAATCAAGAAAGTACAGGGTGATTAACAACACGAAGCTAATGCACAGCAATCCTCACGACGTTTAGTCCCTCCCATCCCACCCCCCGATCCGAAACCCGTATCCGCTATGCCGCCATGCAATGTCCCATGCCACAGTTGCGCGCTAAACTGCTAAATACCAAAACCATCAGCGGAGTCGCGGAGTCGCTAAGTACGTTATGGTTAAAAAAAAAAAAAAAAAGAGGCCAAAGTCAGGTAGCGAGAAACTCGCGAGAAATGCCACACCTTCCTCCTCTTTCTTGTTTCAACCTATGGTACCGCCGAAAGCAAACACACTATGGATGTATGAAGCCTGCTTTATCCGCTCATCAACTCGCATCCTCGCATGTCATGAGAGAGAGAAGGAAGTAAAAAAATAAAAAATAAAATAAAAGGGTCCTCCTGATGTTCACTGGTAACACAAAACCTCCCCAAGACATCACCGCCTCATGACACGGAGTCTCGACTCTCTCGTCCCGTCGCCCACGCCTCTAATCCGCATAAACGCTTCAACACCCATTCGCCCAAAAAAACCGTTCCCTTGCAGCAAGGTCTCCATGCTGCTCCTCTCTTTTTTGAATTCTTCTTATTGAAATCCTGTCTATCTAAACACTAGAGCAATGTCTGCCTAACCTTTTCACAAACCTTTTCGACTACGCCGTACACGTACACAGCATACCGCAGCCACCTACCCTACCCCCCGCGCAAATCCTGAAATGCTACGTCGGCGCGGTTAACGTGATGCCCGCCTAACGCGCGCAAACGGAAGACGTAATCCCGGCGCTTCGGCGATGAGCCATGTCGCAGGCAGTCGAATCCGGCATTGACACATTGGCAGTGCTCTTGTTGACTTTGAGAGAGTGTACCTTCGTCCTGGTCTAACGTCAAATCAGATAACTCCGGACTCAACGCCGAGCTTTTTGGTCTCACTGTCTCATCTCATCTACACTTAGGTACGGTAGACAAACTGACTGAAAATATGTAAAATAATATTATTACAATTCTCCCGTGAGCTGACGGGGTAACACAAACAAAACAAAAAGAGACATAAGAGAAGAAAAAAAGGCCCGAGGTAGTCCACGGTACGAAAAGGACCATGCACCCAACCCCCCGAACTCATCATCCCATGCCCGCCTTCGTAAGTCTATGTATGCGCGTGTGTGTATGTACGTCCGTTCCACCGTCAGCAATTATGTACGGTAATCTGTCGATTCTAAGCCACCACCACCCGTCTCCCCGCACCCTGCAGCTTCCAATACAATGTCCCCTCCCCTCCCATGCCATCCATCCCACATCAATCGTGCCTCTTTACAGTAAAACAAGCACCAAGAACGCCCTGCCCATCATCATCATCATCATTATCATCATCATCAGCATCACCCATTCCCACAAGGCTGTCTGGGTGACACGGTGTGACTATAGAGAACTAGAAGCCGCGTTTCACCGCATCCTTCTTCGTCTTCCATACTCCGTCCGCCACCTCGACTGCCACCACCACCACATCCACGCCCGCTCTGCTCACCTTACCTTACCCTAAGCTACCGTTCGATTCGGCAGGGTGGACAAGATAAAGCTCGCCACGGCACAGTAGTGTAGCTTCCTTCCGCGCAGTAAGAAGCTTCCTTCCGTCATCCCTAAGCGAGACCTCTGTAGGGTAGGTGTAGTTGTAGGTGGGCTCATCTGGTGTGCGTGCTTAGCTTCCCGCTCCCGTCAGCCGTGCGATGTATGTAGATGCATTTCGAAATCAGGGTATCTTTGTCTTTCTTGTCTCGTTTCTGCCTTTCCTCTCAATGGTTGAATGTCTTCGTGTTTCCTTGAGGCCGAATTCGTTATCGTCGTGTGTAATAGTGTAGTTTGTCGTACTGGTTCATCGTAGTCCGTCTCCTCCCCCCGTCCATGTCCCCCCTCCTCCAAGGAAAAGTAAGCTCCATGTCGTCCGCATCCATCCGGTTCGATCAGCCCAGCAAGGCCCCGTGCCGCAATGCGAGAAGACCGAGATGCCCGCCCCATATTAAACCATTACAACCACCTCTCATCGTCCCGAATATGCCTTGCGCCACACCTGCACGCTGCCCCAATCGTCGTATCAATCCGTTCTCTCGTCTCCATCCCACCCCTAGTCCCAAGACAATTGAGCCATAACAAGACAGGAAAAATAGGCACTGCCCCACCGCCATGCAGAAAACATAAGGAAAAGCGTCTCGCGACGTACAGCCGTCTATCGATCACCACACACCTTGTGGTAACACCAAGACCACTAAGACCGCTAGGCCCAACCACCCTTGCATCCTCCGACCATGTGCTCCCTGCTTCTTGTTGCCCTGCTTGCCCATTCAGAAGAGCGAATGGGTAGCCAAGTAGGCAAAGGTTCCCAGGGCCCAACATCATCAGATGTGCAGTGGTCAAAGCCACACAGCCTGCATAGACTTCTTCTCGAAGCCTTCCCACTCGGGTAAAGCCTGTCGACGACAACAACCTCTTCCGCGAACCTCACACCCTGCTGCTCCACATGACCGCCTGGGACCATGCAGTCTATGCCCAATCGTATCTAGACTCAGTCGGTAACATCATGGCCTGTTGAGCTCAGGACTGACTGACTTCGCTGCGACTTTTGCTGGCCACCTATTCCGAAAGAGAAAGTGAGCTGCAACGAGGCCGAGTGGTGCCGGCGTGATTGGTCGTGCAACCCGACTCTATGGTTGCCAACGTCATAAGCTTGTGTTGCCTCAGCCGCACTCTTGTCAGTGGGCCGAACCAAAGAAAGGGAGATGTGCTGCCGGGTCGCTAATAGCCAGCATGTCGTGTCGGGCGACGGCCCTGGCTCCTGTGCTCCGAAACCTGGGCTTCGTTTCGCCATGTATGTTTACCGCCGTCTTCCTGTGGGGAAAAGCAACCGGGGCGTCGTCTTCCAAGCTCTTGCAGGTGCGTCTTCACCTCTAGGCATCAGCTTTATCCGTCCCTGTGGCCCAATAGTGATCCGCCTGCGACGATGGGGCAGTGCCAACGATGACCCTCAATGCCAACCTCGCGCACGCTTGCGTTTGTCTTCACACGGGTTTTTGCACTTGGGGCAAACGTGGTCCGGATACGAGTTGACATCGACCCTTATCAAGCACTTTGAGCACCGCCACCATCGCGACGAGAGATTGCGCCCTTGGAGCCAGCTGTCGTCTACGTGCGTGCCCCGCTTGAAAATGTCTTCGTTGTGATAGTCTCGCAGGTGGTCTCTGAAGTGGTCCCGTCGTCCGAACGGTTCGCTTCTCCGCGAGCACTTTGGGTAGTCGCACTTGTGAGCTTCCTTCTTTGACGGGTCCTGGTGGACTTGTCTATAATGCCTCTCGAGGTCGGCCTTGCGCTTGAAAGGGTTTGCTGTGCATCCCGCCTCAAGGCAGGGGAACTTGTAGTCTACGACTTCTTGCTGCTCTTGACCCCTG